TTTTTTTGTACCAGGGATCAAACTTGGGACCTTGTGCTTGTGAGGCAGGTGGCAGAACCACTGAGCTAAATCCCCAGCCCCTGTAATAGCTAAATCTTGAACACAGCCCAAATGCCTATCAACTGATTAATAGATAAAGATAGAGTTTTGCTTTAATACAATGAAATACTACTTAGCCCTAAAGAAGGGTAAACTTGAGGCATTCCTAGGTAAATGGATACACCTTTGAAACCATACTCTTAAGAGAAATAAATCAAACACACGTGTAAATATCACACTGTTTCTCTGATGTGAAAAATGCAAAATGTAAACACAGACTGAAATGTATAATAGATACCGTGAAATAGGAAGAAAATGTTCAAATGGGAAGGGGGACTAAGGTGGCGGCAGTGAGCTGCTAACCACAGCGCCGTGTGGGGCCAGCCAGACAGTGACGAGGAGGAGTGCGAGCTCGGGTGTGGGTCGGGACGAGCACGAGGCTGGGTTTTCTGAGGCTCTCGCTTGACGATCTGCAGACGTCCTCAGGGCTGAACCCCAGAGCCGTCTTCAGAGTCAGCAGTCCCGGCTCTTTCACTTTCACACTCACGTGTGCCCTGCGAGCCACAAGCCAGAACAGACCCTGTGGGCACCTGGGGATCAGCTGCATGCCGGCTGTCGGCCACAGGGTCCACGGTGCCCCCAAAGGAGACGGGGCTGGAAGGACATTTGGTCCGCCTGTGTGTGGAGCGGAAGTCATGTGCTGTGACCCCCAGTCTGGAAGCGGGCCTTCCCCAACACATCTGCCCAAATAAAGCTACTGACACCGCGTGGCCCCGTGGGAAGCCCCCCTTCAAAATAGCACGCAGCCCCGCTGAACAAGTGTGAGCAGTATTTCTTAAAGGGCAAGTGATACAAAGACCCTGCGCTGTGTCAGGGGCCATTACAAAACACTGGTTTCGCACTAGCAAAACTTAAAACACAATAAGGGTCCCACTTGTCACACACGCACACACACAATTTCATGTTAAAGTCTAGATAACCCCTTAAATAATGCTACTATGGGTATGCAAACAACAGCAGGCTCATTTCCCCGGCTGGAACAACCGGACAGTGGCACACCTAACAGAGAAGACCCGAGCAACAGGCCCTGAAGGACGGAGCCAGCAGACAGTAACAACGGAGAAGGAAAGTGGATTCCGAGTGAGGCGAGCAGCTGACCTGACGACGACCGGCCAGAGACTTGTGGTGGGCTCCAAAGCTGCCCGTGAGTGGGAAGGGCCGAGGCCAGGTGGTGGGGTGGGAAGTGTGAGCGGGGAGCTAGGGCGGGAGGCGCAAGGTCCGTCTGCCCGGGAGACCTACTGGGTCCGGAGCCGCCACATCTAAGATGGGGCCCTGGGAGCCGCGCGGTCTCCTGAGGACAAAGGGACAGACGCAGAGAGTTTGGGACAGCTGCAGGACGGGCAGCAGGGACCGGCGGGCAAGACTCTGCGTCCCCCCGGGCACCATGTGGCTTCTGGCGTCTCCCGAATCGTCGTGTGCAAAGGTTCTGTCACTTAGACTTAAGAGCTTTCCCTCCTAAATTAAATGACCGCTTCTCCTGAGTCATCCCGCCAAGTCTTTACGTACGAATATTTCTTTGTATAAGAGCCTCGTGATATACCCCACCACAATGGCATGGCTTCAGTAACAAAATTATTTTCTAATACTAAAACATCCATCTTGTATCTGTGATAATGGCAGCTATGCAACTGAACAGCAGATCCTTTCGAAAACCCGTATTAAAGAAACATTTAATTGGTAATATTTTATAAATGTGACCGATCAGTAACGTAAGGAGACAATTGGTCTAGTTGTCAACGATTCTATACTGGCAGATAGCTATTTCTCACACAGGAAATGTCATACGTCTCCTGGGTGTGAAAATGAAATTTTAAAAAATACAGTTACCCCCCACACACATAAGCAGATTTGACTCACAGCCTGCTCATTCCATATTCCCCTGGCTGGCCGCGAGTGGCTGGCCGCCGGAGGGGGAGCCCCACAGTTTCTGAACAATGCTGAACCATATTCCCCTAATCCACCCACCGCGGGACTCGGCATTTAAAGTAGCAACTCGAGCTCAACCTCCGAACTCTAAGTACGTCCCACTCCAAAGTCCCCTCCACCACTGGGCAGAAGATTGTTTTGACTGGAATTAGTCAGACAGAAGAACCGTCGTGCCAACTGCTTCATTGTACAGCACCTGCTGCCAATGCCTAAATTCTTGTTATCTCTACAACATGGTTTAATCTTTTAACAGTTGGCTTATTGGTGGTGAGCGGAGGGGTCCTTTGTCTCCGCGCTGGGCTGGCACCCAGAAAGAACCCCATGCTGTTCTTCGAGAGATTTTTTGCTGGACAGTTCCCAAGTGATTCTACAGAGGGCAGACACAGCCAGGTCACTCAGGCAGCTTCGCTTTGTGTTATTAGCAACAGAGGGACAGAGAGGGGGAGAGAGAGAGTCTAAAACTGACAGTGCCTGTTCCACTTATCTTCTGGGACTGGACCGTCTTCTTTCACATTCAAAACAGCTATTGCAAGAAATTCATTTTCAATGCCTTGTTGCTTAACCAGAAAGAAGTTTTCTCAAGAGGCATATACATAGCAAAGGCTGGTGGAAACGAAATTGTAAAGTGTGTTATGCAAGGAACACCTCTGAGGCCCCCAGCTACACCCGCGCTGTAAACAGCCTACAGCCGGGCCCTGGCCTGGAGGGGAACATTGCTTCCGAATCTTGGTTTTTGGCAAAGACTTCCCCTTCTTCTTAATCCAGTCTGATGGCTTAGCTTAGCTTTAGAGCAATATCAAGATGGATGGGAGATTAAAAAAAAATACTGTTCTGCATACATGGGTATAAAGCCACAGTGGTGAGAGTGGTATCAAAATACACTGGGTCACATTTCTTAATAGAAGATCCTTAAAAGTTTTGCTGTAAATTTTTTTTTAAATTGTATATTTTTTTTAATATCTACATATATAATCCCTTTAAATGACTATTTTAACTGAATAAACTGTGTGACATGGACGTGAAGATAAAAATGATGCATCCTCATGCAAAGCCAATTAAAACTTCGGGTTCAGCTTTTTTCCAAGTGACAAACGATGGTGGAGTTGTGTACATTCAAAATAATAAGGACGGCCTGTGGCACTTTATCACAAACCTACCAAGGAACAGACTACGATATAATGAAATTTTCCTTGGAAATTGGAGTCTAGAGATCACAACTTTCATTCATATCAATTATTTACTACCCAGGAATGTTCCTAAAACTTTCACTTCTGCTAACGTATCTGGGGCCAAGTCAGATAATTCTATATACACATTAACGCCACGACTGTAAGAAGTGGGATATAAATCTCCCTTGCGTCTTTCTGCTCTCTCTGACACTATCTGCATTTTCCAACCGTGGAGCTTGCCACCCCCACCTTCTTGGCCAGGAGCTAGAGAAGTGTGAAAGCGGAAAATGTCAGCAAATACAAAATTATGCAATGAAACCAGGCCGAGAGCTACGATGATGAAAAGTGCCGCCCCCAAGTAGCTCCCGGCTGGTGATCTGAAAATAAGGAAAGGACTTGGGGATTTCAAGAACTTCGTCCTGTGCTAAGGCCAACCAGTTAAAATTTTAAACTAAGATCTTTTATTTGCTCCAGTATGTTAAAATTTCATGGGACATAAACTTGGTCTCCAGGGGAAAATGAAGAACCGCTTGCCTTTTCCCAGCTTCCTCCGTGCCGGAAATAATAATAACGCTGAATCAAGGCAAAGGACGAGGCAGACCTGCGTTCTCCACCCTGGACAAGCACTGAACTTGGATCCAGCTGGCGACGCCTGCACCATCACCATAATGCCATAACCCGGCGGTTTTCTCGCCGTTTTCGCACACAGGGCGTCTGTCCCTAATATCTCTGGTGTCTGCGGTGCCACACGCTAGAAGCAGAGCATTTCCTTCTCTTTTCGGCAAACGCTGTAGAGACCGTTTTCTCTGCCCTGTGTTCCCATACCAGGCTCCCTTTCACATACTCGCATGAAATGTTTTTCTTCTTTTCGATCGACTACCATGAAGTTTAACTATCGTCCATTTCCCATAAGCATATAATTTTATTGCTTTAAACTGTTTCAATCTAAAAACGTTGCCAATTTAAGTAACAATAGCGAGCCATTGAAAGATGTATATGCCAAGTGGTCAATGTCTAGTAGATTCCAAATCTGTTTCTAAAATGGATAAAAGGGCAACAGGTTGTAATTGTCCGGATTGTGTCTGTCTCCCATATTACAAATGGGGATTAGACGTTCCAAATATTTCTCAGTAGGAAAGGTTTTACTTGTCAATAAGAGATTTAAAAGAACAGTCAGGGGTTGGACACTGATATCTTTGTCTCCAGCTAATTTTAAAACCTATGCAACGAGAATATCGGCTTTTGCTCTACTTCTTCAGGCCCTGTTGTAATCCTCTTAGTGCCTCCTTTACCTCAGTGAGCAGCACGATTCCACAATGAAATGCTCCAGGTATCCATCGCCCTGTCCAACTCCGTCTCTCAGATCCCTCCTTATGGGTTATTAAATTACTATTCCCAATGCCCTGATCACCTCTCTGGAAATAATTGAGCCAGTTTTTTGCCCCCGCCCCCAGAAAAGGATTTTAGAGGCTTCAAAGCTAAGGCAAAGTCATTTTTTTTCCTGAAAGCTTTTCTTGAATAACCAATTTATCAGGGTTTGCTTTCTTATGCTGCTATTTTTGTTGGACCAAAGTTTTATTCAAGATCAATTTCTTCTTTCAAAACTAAAATAATGTAAAAACATTGATTGAAGATGAATATGTTCTTGTTTTCTCTAAATCTTTAGAACCAATTAATGATGGTAAATAACTGCACACAGTTACTCTCTCTTCTTGGAACATTAGAGGACATAATTGGTCTTTCAAAGCTCAACTGTGATTTTTTTTTTAAAAAGCGAAGTGTAAAGCATCCTTTGGGTCCCTCTCCCTAATACCTCTTTGACATCCAATTTTTTTTCTGGGCTTGAGCTGGCCTTGCTAATTGAGTTAATTTCCAAACTCGCTTGAGTTGAGCCAAGTCTGAGCATACAGGTACTGCACAGGACAAACAGGATCGGGATATCTGTGCCTCACAGGAATTTTACACCTGTATGAGACCAGGATCCTGCGTCAGCTTCCAAACACAGGCCAGGGTCAGATCGTGCCCCTGCTGCAGTATTTCCAGTTGCTCCTTGCTTTTCAGAGAACAACAACCAGAATCCCTGCCGGTGACTTAGGCCCCTTCGGATGCACGCCCGACATTATCACAGAATCTACCATTCTGCTCCACTGTCCCCAGATCTACCAGAATGCGCCGTGGAAGAGGTAACGTAAGGGAAGCAGCGCCTGGTTCACTGCCTCTATCAGCAACAGAGAAGGGCTGCGACGGGAGTCAGAGCTGGAATCTCATACGCAGTTCGGAGAAAGACCTCATGAAGCAGCGCTGGACAGGCAGGGCTCGAGTGGCACGCGGGATCTCAGTGGCACTTACTTACTAAATGCCAACCAGACCCCGTGCTAGGCACGAGGTTGACAGAGAGGGCTGGAGGTGCGGACAAGGCTGAACTCCAGCCAGAGAGACCCAGTGGGTGCAATAGCAGATAGCACGGAGTGATTCCAGAGCAATCTGGATTGGCTGCCACACAGAGCACCATGGAACAGTCAGCCCTGAAAGATGGGCTACGGCGAAGCAACAACAACAAAAATCCCCTCATCAACAATGCATTGCACCCTCGACCCACACTTGAGACCAACTGCTAGCACACAGGGACACAAGGCTGAGCCCCTGTGCCCACGGGTCCTCGGTGTAGCCGCGGAGAAAGACACAAAAGCAATGCCCATCCCAAAACACAACTGCAAGAGCGAAGTCAAGGGACGAGAAGGAGTTTGGAGCACACAGAGGGAGGTTGGTTCTCTTTGGAGGATAGGATGAGGGAAGGAGGAACAGAAGGAGAGGCTGAGTAAAAGCTCAAGAGCAAGGAGGGGTAGGTCCCTGGCAAAACCATGGCACCAGTGCACCCAGCGCATCTCCTGGTGCACAGCTGAGTAGTTCCAGCAGAGAGGATCAAAAAGTGATGAGACTGGAAAGGCAAACAAAGTGGGGCAGAGAATCACGAGGTCAAGGAAGGTCTGGTACAGGCGATGGAGCTTCGGTCGGGAACAGCCAAGGATATAGGGTTTCAAGCAGGAAAACAAAAGTTACAGCAAAAATTGAATGAAAAATACCAGGGACCAAACCTATGGTAAAGAAAGCTGAAAGTTAGGTCAATATAAAACATAAAAGGCATCTAGTATGCTATTTCATGAACTTTTGTTTTCTAAATTTTCTGAACAATAGGATTAGATACATTCTATTCTATTTTTACAGCAATACTATTTAAACACGGATGCTTCTTGAAACAGCCAAGAATTCAATACAAAATGTGAGTCATAGAGAGACTCCGGGCAGCAGGGACAGAAGAGCAAATTGGAGCAAAGGGTCCTCGCGTGGTGTTCTAAACCCAGGGCTCAGCCCGGGCAGCAAGAGCTCACTTTCCTTGAGCTCCTCTACTCCTGTCAGTGCCTTTTGCTTCCGATTTCTTTGTGTTCAGAAACCAAAGAATATGCAGCTGAGATGAGTAACCATCTTCCATGGAGTTCCCAGCTAAGACATACGAGGGAATTATTCCTTCTTTGAAGATGCACTCACCATGCTTTCATAGTTCAGCTTGAGAGGATATATATCAATCTAGATAGATAGATAGATAGATAGATAGATAGATAGATAGATAGATAGAGAGAGAGAGATATCCTTAATATAAGAATAAACTGATAATGGGTACAGGTGTAAATTAATAACAGATCTAGACTGAGTCGCCACACATGGATTTGCTAAGGAACTGATGTGCCTTTCCTTCCTGACCACAGAGCCAGCCAGTCCGATTCTACAGCTCCGAGAGACAGCCACTGCCTTACTTCAGTCCCGACAGCTTAGAACCGGAACACAGAAGGTGAGACCAAAACTAGGATCCAAATGACATAATTTAAGTAGAATGCTTTTCCGGGCAGGGAATTCTATACTGTTTCAGGTTTGGAGTATTTCATAAGAGTCAAAGAAAAATATTAGCTCTAACTTTTTTAAAAAACAACTTGTAGCTTTAGATACAACTTTCAGGGCTTAGGATATGGCTCAGGGTAGGCTGCCTGAGTCCCTGGGTTAGATCTTCACCATAGAAAAACAAATTAAATTTAAATTTAATCACATTGCAAAACAAAACAACAGAGAACATTTCACAAATATCCACTCAGTTCATAATATATTGTCTGTCAGATACATAAAATGTATGTCATTAAGTACAATGCACCAAATCTGACCTTTTTCCATGGAAAATGGCCTTCCCAGTCTGCCTTTTCATGTTGGTCTGGTATCTTTCAACTGGTACAGATGGAATGAGCTGGAAATCCTTCACAAATTTCCTAACTAAAAAAAAAAAAGCAAAATATTCAATTACTTTTATTAGAATACAAAGAAGTTTAATGATAATGTGCTTTCCTAGTGTAACAATGTATGCATTTTGATCTCCACCTGTGAGAGAAACTAAGAATGTAAAACTTGAAGTTTTTTCGACTACAACTTTGTGCAGTCTTGTGGGATCTATAGCTGGGAAAGAAGGATTTAAAAGTCCACCTTGTAATTGTTTGTGACGTTGGGAGCTTCCATGACTAAGCAATCAATAACCAAAACAACAATTCTCAATCTTGCAGAATCATGAGCAGTGGAGACCATCTTCGTTGTCAGGTTTACATTCTGTATGCCAGACTGAGACCAATGGGGACGTTTTCACACTCACAATGGTTGTGTTATGCATCCTGGTTTGGCATTTTCAAGACAGCCTTGAAGGCCTTACAATCTCCCAGGTACTTAGGAAAACCACAAACTAGCGAGATTGGATTTCACTCTAGTTCAGCCAAATCGTGTGTCTTAGGGCTGGGTGTAGCTCAGGGGCAGACCGCGTGCCTACTGCACAGGAAGCCTTAGGAGCAAGGCTCAGAGCTTTAAGAAAAGCGACCCATCGTTACCCCGCTCAACTCCTGTGTGTTAGGACCTAGGGCACCACATGCTATCCAACAGAAGCCAGCCCAGGGACTGATAATAGCACCTTTTATCAATATCCTGAGAAATACAAGAAACAGGAGCATGATTATTAAGGCGTCAAATGATCCTCTTTCAAACAGAAAGAAAATTCAAATGGAGTGTAAAAATTAAGTAAATTATCTAACAAAATCAGTGTGCATTCAATAATGGCAGCTCCACATTGTTACTCTTGGGGACCTAGATCTGATTTGAATCACTTCCGTACAACAGCATAGTTGTATCTGGGGAAATACACTTAAGAAGGATTAGCCCGGGGATTTAGCCCCGTGGCAGCAAGACTGCCTCGCAAGTGCAAGGTCCTGAGTTCGATCCCCAGTACCAAAAAGAAAAAGACAAAAAAAGGATTAGACAAGGTAAGAATATTAGAGGTGATGTAAGAATATCAAATATTATTTCATATTAATGGGAAATATCCACATCAAACTTAATATAAATGTCAAAAATAAAGCTACAATTTAAGAGAACAGGTCTGGACAATTCAATCACTTAAAATACTAATATACTCAAATCTTCCAAATGAAAAATGCCTGTAACAAAAGAATGCCCATGAGTTATTTTCTAGCTATAAAGAGAATAATAAACAGATTCATTCTTGCCTGAAAAGTACAGCAATCTTTGGGAGACAGAGCTCAAGATTAAGCAAGGAGAACCAAGGCACTTTCTTAGGCAGAGTTAGCAATGGGCTGGGCCAGGGTGCTCATGTGATGGCTCTGGGTGCCCTGGACCATCCTTCCAGCTATAGAGCTAGGAGAGCTGTGAGCTTCTGAATTACAGGCTGGTGAGGCAGGTAAACCTTACCAACAGATCTCCCGGTCCAGCCTCCCCCCAGTGTCAGGCTGCAGTGCCTGATGTGCTGCACATTGACCTCGTAGTCCTCCTTAAAATTAAATTAATTTTTAAAAATTGAAAAATCACTTCCACAGTCACTGTAAGTGCTCAAGGGTAAGAAAGTATGTTTCTGTCACCACAGAAAGTTCTGTCGGACTGGGCTGCCCAGAGGTTAAGCACTGAGACCCTTACAAGACGGCCTGGATTAGAACTTGGCGATCCTTGTGTGGCTTTAGTCACATTACTACCTTTGGTCTTGGCTTCTGTCTTTCAAAAATGGAGAAAAATCAAATATTGGGGAACAATGAGTTTTAAATTATTGTTTTGACAACCAAATAAATTCTTACACAATGCTCTGGTAACTGCCTGGCCTGCAGTCAGCACCCAGAAACCCCCGCTTTTATATCTGATCTGGGCCTGGCTCTGGGCAGAGGAGAGGATGGGATCCAGATCTTCCGCTCCCGCCTGCCCGTCTCCTCACATCCGACCAGGCTCCCAGCACAGTGCTTTTGTGTGAAATTTATCATCGAGTGAAATGTTTAAATGTGCACGTTCATGGGAGTAACACAGATCCTACTTAAAATTATTAATTTAGATTGTATAACTGATAATGTGAAATAGGAAGAAAAGGGCTAAAGGAGTAGGGGAAGTGGGAAGTGTAGGGGAAAGGAAAGAAGGGAAAAGGAAAAATATGAGAAAGGAAAAAAATGGAAGCAAAATCTCTGTAGATAGGGAAGATTGGAGGGGGTGAAAGGAGGGCAGGGGGATGGGGAAAAATGAGAACCAAGATAAGTCACGTAAAGGTACAGGATCCCAGTGATGAGTGTGACTGTACTGATACCTAAAAATTACCAATAAACTTAATGAAAAAAATTATCAATTTACAAATAACCACCAAAACAGCTTTTACACTTCAAACAAAATTGTTACTTCTCAAAGAAGGAGCTACCCTGAGCTCATGGCCCCAGGAAGGTAGCAATGAGGTGCTAGGAAGAAGGGTGCATAGGAAGAGTAGCTGGAGGCAACTCAAAGAACACCCTGGGAAACGTGAACTTAGGGGATGGATTGCTCTCATCACATATGGGGTAACTGACTTGTAGTTTCCAGGCAGCAGAACGTTGTTAGGATCTGACACAGTCCTGCAGAAACTGTGAGGCCACCGCTGGCAAAACACAGTCACTTGGACAAAGGTCAAAGTCAAATCAGGGAGTGGCGGAGATCAGGAATCGAGAAAACATACCAAATCTATCTCCAAATTATACAGACACTGCAGTGTGAACACAGATAAACAATGAAGCATAGCAGTCTCTAACAAAATCCAAAGACAAGGGAATTCCCCATTATACAGTACTATGGTGAATATCAGATGCATACCTCTGAAAGGTCTATTTTAGTTTATTTAGCTGATTCATAATGCACCAAGAACAGCAGCAACATTTACAACTTTAATAAACAATTGGGATAATGAAAGCATTCAGTTGAGAAAAAAGCATTCAATTGTTGCTATAATTTTCATTTTTCAAGTATAACTGCAACCCAATGAATATTTTCATAGTGATCTCAGGAACTACTAATTAAAATCTGAGTCCTTACTATTTGGCTACAAGTATTTTTTCCTGAGCTCACCAAGTGTTATGCTGATTTGATTTTCATATTACATGTCACATACAACTGCTTCAGATGCATTGGAAACTAAAATCAAACTGAAAACAGATCATAGATTTTAAGATGGTCACCGTGTGGGCTATGAGCCCTTCTCTACATTGGTAACAAAGACTTGCGGTTGAACTCCAGAAGGAAAGGACAAGACAATGTCACCTGTGCCAAAGATACTTAAACGGAATCTCACCACAAGAAAACACTCAGGCCCGTCGACAACGTGGGACAGTCTATCAAGGAAGAATCCATGTCGGGCAAAGCGTAACAAAGGTGGAGAGAATATTCTAGACTGAAAGCAACCACAGGAAATAAGAAAATGCAATGCAGGAAGCTCACTTGGATATTGGATTACAAAAAGCTTCAAGGCACGTTTTGGAGACCTTGAAGCTGGACTGCCTCCTGGATAATGACAGACTGTTATTGACTAGCTCAGACGTGATGTAGAGGAATGCCCTGTTCCTCAGTTATCCACTGCACTCGGAATCAGATTTTAACAAGTGTCTGGAAATACCTTCAAACTACCCGAGAGAGCAAAGGGAGACCTGAGAGAAATGAAACAAACATGGGCAGCTCTTGAAGTGGGCGCCTCCAGATGCAGTGCCCTTTCAGCTTTTCTTTAGATGTGGAATTTTTCAGAATAACAATCTGGACGAAGGAATGCCTAAAGGGCTCAAATACTGGACAAAATTAACTTTGGCAAACAAGCAGCCCGAGCCCCCCACTCCCATGTTACAGAAATAAGACACATCACAATTGCGTCCCAAAGACTAACGTTATTCACTTACTATAGACTGCATGTGTTTTCAATAGATTTTAGAATAGACAGCTATAACTTCTTAGACATACACATTTTTAAAGATTCGTGGTAACAAAATGCGATAATGGTTGCTTGGTGCTTTATGGACTAGGGCTTTATTTTCAAAATTTAAAAATATACTAAAAGAAAAATGAAATGCAAATAAACATATGCACTTATAAATATATCCAGACACAATTCTCAGCTGGTTTTAGGGTATTCCAGACTGCTGACCTTTTATTAGTCACTCCATAAATATAATCCGGTTAGCCAAGAACAAGTGTGGTATTCTTAAAGTACTATAACAAACATCAATATTAATCAATCATTACTTTCACTTTGACAGTGATATTGAGAAAAAAATAAGATTGGCATTCATTTCATTAAGGTTTTTGTCTTGCAATGGGAAGGTCTTGCTAAAGCAAGAATTCTTGTCACTTTAAAATTCATTACTGTTTTTATCATCATAAAAGTAATTCCACTCACAAGGTCATTAAATTAGATGTTTGAAATTTGACTGTCGGGGAAAGAAATGTATCTCTCCTTATGGATATTGTATTTGCATAAATTACGTAGCACAAGAAATCACTATGAGCATTTTAAGTGTATTATTTTCTGGTAGATGAAACAAAATTTTGTAACCTGTTACCATAACTTATCCTACGGACCTCTTCCAATGCCTGCATGGGTTTCTGAGGCTGTTTTTGTTGCAGTATTTGCAATTCTGATGACTTGGATACGTGGAAAATCCAGGCAGCCCATTGGTTTGTTGAGATTTAGGTCTGTCTGTGCTGATGTTCTTACAATCAACATGCGACCAATATGCACACCTCATCTGCAGCCAGGCAGCAAAGTCAGCCTCAGAGTTCCTCTGGATATGCCCTGTCCAAATATGCATACATCTCCAAGATACTGGGCACAACGGCCTGGCTCACCTGAGTGAGCTGTGACCGCGGCCTTCTCCTCTCTTTAGGAAGGCAGATCATTTTATGCAGGAATTTACAATCTACAAAAATTTACACAATGCTCAGCAATAACCGGT